TAAAAGGAAGAATCTTGTTTATTTCATGAGAAACTGAACTTAACCATTATCTTGAGGAAGAATATGAAGAAAATTCTTTAGAGAATTTAAACAGTATGTGGAGTCAATTGAATGGAGCCAAGACTGTTTCTAGCCAAGTGAAGAAAATGAATCCACCGTAATATTGATGGTTTGTGATAACATTTTGCCATTGCCAACATATGGTAAATAGTTATGTATGTCTTTGCTTCATTCTTGCTTTCATTTGTTAATAAATTGTGTATGTATGTATTAAAAAATTTAGATACTTATAGATAAATAAGAGTACCAATGGGAAAGGTCTCTCTAGTTAAGTAGTTAATATTTAACAAACTGGGTTGGGAGGTCAAGTTAATTAATGAGAAAGATTGCAAATTTACTAGCAAGAAATAAATTGTTTCGACATACTGGCAGATTGTTATAGAGCTCAGGAGGGTAAAATTAAATATATAGCAACAAATCAAGTGGTAGACTGAAGACTGACCAGATCTTATAATAAATACCTTGCTACATTGGAGGATATATACACAGACACACACACACATATATATGTATGTATGTATATGTATATATGCATACATACATACACATACATATATATACATACACACACATATATATGTATATCATTACCTTATTATAGTAGTTTTTTGAGACTGTTTTATCAATAACAACATTTACATACATTTGGGGAGATGGGGGAAGAGTAATGCATAAATGTGCTAGACATTTATTTAGTTTCTAATAGGTACCACTGTTTCATAGCTTTGAGAGACTAGAAGTCTGGTCAAAGTGATTAGTGTTTCTAAACTGGATCTGGTCACACATAGTCAGTAGCAGATTCTTTTTCAGTAGTGTAGAGGCTTTATCAGGCATGTTCCTCCATGAAGTCTTCTCTGATACCCCTGAATTAAGATCATTTTTTCCTTCCCCAAATCTCTCCAGACACTTTGCCTGGACCTCGTCTTTGCATTTCCATATCTCATCTCTCTCTTGTATCAGTTGTTACCATATTTGTCTTTTCTCCCCACCTCTATTAGATCATAAGTTCCCTTGGGATCAGGTCTTATGTCAGATCTATCTTCATAGCCCCAGTACCTACCAGTTTCTTACAGAGGTGGGATGATTTTATTAAAAAATGGGACAGAAAATAAGAAATTTTACATGTTTTTTTCTTTCTGATGATTATGCTAGTTTGGATAGAATGTTAGAGTAAAACTTTTTTTAATCTGATAGATGTTTCTTATGACACTGAGGTTTTTTACTCAGGATTTGTTAACTACTCCATATATACAGCTATTATTATATTGGTTGGAGGAGGGAAGTGGGAGTGTACTATAGGGACTTCTAACTTTTGTAGAGGGAATATAGAGATTAATAAGAATAGGTCACCAAAGAAGAGTGCAAAGGGAGATACAAAGGAAAAATTGGTTGCTACAGTGTTTAATAAACACATACAAACATACATACATACATGCATGCATATGTGATCTTTTTTTAAAACTGTAAGAAGCTCACCATTTTATATACAATTTTCTTTCTTGTTCTTTGTATGATGAAATGTTTGCTTTCAATTAATTGTTAAGTTCACAGTAAGAGTTATTTTTTTAAGAATAGGGAAAAACAAAAGAGGAAAGAACACATACCACAATTGAATAAGAAGTATACACCAGAATGATAGGGAAAAAAAAGAGTCTGGCCATGTAACTGGAACCCTTCACCCACAAATTTAAATATACCAAAAATGAACTGCTCCCAAAGCCTTATGGCTCTCAGGTTAGCTTTATGTCTACAACATTGCCAGCCTCTAGATCTTTCAATTTCTTCACCTGCTTATTATGGGCGACATCAACTTCAACGAGGGTTAAGAAGCCTTTCAATCTTTAGTTCTCTCAGTTAAGAGTTATAAGGCTCATTCCCCAACTGATAGATGGTCAAAGGTTATGACTAGGCAAATTTCAGAGAAGGAATCAAAGCTATCAGTAGCCATACCAAAATGCTGTAAATGGTTAATAATTAGAGAAACACAAATCAAAACATTTTTGACGTACCATCTCACATCTATCAGATTGGCTAAGATAACAACAACGCAAAAAAAAGGAAAATAGCAAACGCTGGAAGGGATGTGGGAAAATAGATACACTCATGCACTGTTGGTAGAGCTGTGAACTAGTCCAACTATTCTGGAAAGCAGTTTGGAAGTATGCTCAAAAGACTATTAAATTGGACATGCCCTTTGACCTAGTAATAATATTACTAGGTCTATACTCCAAGGAAGTCGAAGAAAGAAGAAAAAGGGTTTTTATGTACAAAAATATTTATAACAATTCTTTTTGTAGTATTAAAGAAATGGAAACTGAGAGGATGTCCATCAATTGGGGAATGGCCAGAATTATGGCATATGAATGTGATAGAGTACTATTGTGCTATAAGAAATGATGAAGGAAATAGTTTTAGAAAAATCTAGGAAGACTTTTGTGAACTGATTTGAAGTGAAATGAGCAGAACCAGAACAATTTAAGCATTAATTGCAATCAACTTTGTAATTTTAATTGATTAATTGATAATCAACTTTGAAAGACTTAAGAACTCTGATGAACAATGAACAACCACAATCAATTTATCAATTAATAAAAATTTATTAGGTGCCATCATATTGGACTACTTGTTCCTTAGATATTACCTGGCCTTTCCTGCCTCCATGTCTTTGCTTATGCTGTTCTTATCATTGGAATGTTTCCTGCCTTCTCATGTAACCTCCTTGGGCCTCAATTTCCTCAACTTTGAGATGATGTGATTCAACTTAGTCCCTTCCAGCTACAGATCCATAATCCACCCCAATTTTCCCCCAATTTCCATCTCCAGCTGCCAAAATCCTATGAATCCTAAAAGGTCTTGTTTAAATATCATTGCCTTCAATAAGGCTTTCCTGATTCATCAACTCTAAACTCATAGGAAAGTTAAGAGGAGAGAACATGACACTCTGCATAGAAAAGCACATTTATTTTGCCTATCCTTGATTTATCTCCCTATGAAACCTCACAAGACTAGGAATTAAGAAATCTTGATCCCCATCCTGGCCTTGCCATTAATTAGCTACAAAACCCGTAAAGTTGCGTAACTTCTGGACCTGTTTCCTCTTAAATGAGAGGTTAGATGATCTCTATAGATCATATAAAGAGACAGCATGGAAGAATGAATAAGGAGCAGGCCTTAGAATCAGGGAGACTTTGGATGAAGTCTTAGCTCTGATAATGTTGTTGGCTCGTGTCACCTGGCCGAGGCTGGTACAGATCGAGATTGCTAGAGGAAATTCCTCTAATTCTCTAAACTTATAAAATCACCTCTTTCTCTCTGTCTCTCTTTCTCTGTTTCTCTGTCTCTCAGATTAAGTGGCAGAGCAGTTTAAAGTCAACATTCGTAAAGAAAGATTCGTTCCCAGGGGATCCCCTACACCGATAAAGTCAGAGATCTGATTTTTCAAAAAGTCCCACAAGTCGTTTTATTTCTCAGTCTTTTTTTTTTTTCATTTATAAAGGATGCACAATATTTTGTGATAAGGGTAAGGAGGACCAGGTGAGATAATTTATTAAAAAAAACTCCTTTGCACTCCATAAAAACACTAAGTTTCAGCTACTGTATGATTCTATGACCACTTTTTTTAGGGGTTTTTTTGTTGTTTGTTTGGTTTTTTTGCGGCTAAGTGGTACTGTGGATGGACCACCGATCCTGGAGTTAGGAGAACCTGAGTTCAAGTCCAGCCTCAGACACTTAATAGCTGTGTGACCCTGGACAAGTCACTTAACCCTGTTTGCCTCAGTTTCCTCATCTGTAAAATGAACTGGAGAAGGAAATGGCAAACCACTCCAGTATCTTTACCAAGAAATCCCAAATGGGGTCACAGAGAGTCCGACATGACTGAAACAACTCTACAACAAAATGACCATGTTTTATTCATCTTCGTGCCCAAATATCAGCTGAATGAATTAGCTCAAACAACCTGAAACAGCTGTCTTTATTTGCTGTCTTAAAGTTCAGATGCACTTTTTAAAAAGACAACAGGATTCTCTTCTATCCTCAGGGACTTCTACTATTCTCAGTTTCCTAATTTTTCAACCCTCCTATCTGACTTTTCTGTTCCTGCTCCTGGACTACTGAGCACTACTAAAGAAAATAATGAATCCCACTGATTTCATCCACTATAAGCTCATGATGCAAAATTTCTGTTGGTTATTCACTGCTGTTCTATTATCCTTCTATGTGACTCTTATGGGCTCCCTATTATATTTCCCATAGAGATTGCAACAAATCTTTTCCTTTCAATGCCAACCTTGTTCATGAAGTCTCTACTGGGCTCATTAATATGTTGTTGATAGAGCTGCTAACTATATTGAAAGCAATCTAGAATTATACTTAAACAGTGAGGTGGAGGATGAAAGGAGCAGCTGATCACTGTCTCTATATAAGGCTACATAATACATGTATTCAAAGGAAGTATAACATTTGATTTTGGCTTCATTATCTGCCTTAGGATTAAAGCCTTGAGGCAACCAACCTGTGACTAAGATCAGCCTCATTTAGCATCCCATAGTCTGCTGTATTGATAGGTTGATGTATTGGATAGTTTTCCCTCTCTCTTTTTTTTTTCTTTGTTATAAGGGATAGCTTTCTGAGTGGATGAGGGGAACAGATAGAGAAATGAAGGTGATATAAAAATAAAATGTGAATAAAAATTTTAAACTAAACAGACTTAACAGATTTCTCCCCTGGGAAAGCCCCAATTCTCCCCTAGTATGCTTAACTACTAAATGAGCAAGAGAAAAACGTATTGAATCAGCTAAAAGAAGGTGGCTTTTGAAAGTCTGAGACGTCACATAACCATTTCAGGGCATATGTGCCAGACAACACGCTAATTGCATAGAGCTTATGTATGACATAAGCCTAAAATGCTGGGAGTCTTAAAAATAAGAAGTCAGAACACATGAATTTGAGAATTTATTAGCAACAGAAAAATTGCAGCATGAAATGGTACAATCTCATTATAGTCTCTATCTCATCTCTTGATCACTCTACTACAAAGTAGCATTGTGAGAGTCCAAGAGAAAATTTTATCTACTGGCAACCTCCTTTGCTTAAATCATATTTTATGTATTGATCCTTGAGGTGGCTAACATGAACAAACAAAATTAACAAGGTTATACTCCCTTTCTACCAGATTAGAAATTCTAATCCAGTTCATAGATTAGCACTTCTGTCATTCAGAATCGGCTCTGCCACGGTCCAATGTGGTTCTTAAATGTCTTCAGGGATTTGGCCATCACAGGAGCAATTTCTGGAAGGAAAAAAGACAATTACACACAATGCTAACAGTCTCAATCTGGAAAGGATCCTAGAGGCCATTTATTGCTTTTAACTAATATCTCAAATGACTAGGTATACATAATAAAATACCATACTTCTCCCATCAGTTCCTTCAGACAAATAAAAGCAGAAGGGGAATGGAAAGTAAGCTGAATTTGAAATCAGAGGACCTAGGTTTGAATCCGGACTCCATACCTGTGTGCCTTGGGTGTGTTATTTCTCTTCTCTAGGCTTTAATTTCCTCGTCTCTTGGGTTGGGTTGGGTTATCTTCTAAATTTCTTTCCAGCTCTAAATCTATTATGGTAAACCAATTTCCTCATTCTGTGATGCATGATGATTCTATTTTTCCCTTACCCAACTAAAGGCAAATTTGAACATTGTTAATGAAGGCCTGAAATGTTCTGCATGCACTGAAAGACAGTAAGAGTCACACCCCACAGTTCCCAGGTGTGGGGGAAGCCAGGTGTGGCTTAGCTCTCATTGTCACTGTCTCCAAGGGTGTGCCTGTCAAAAAGATATTCTGCCATGCCAGGTTGATTACATGATTCATGTATTCTGACTTCTTATTTTTAAGGCTCTCAGCGTTTTAGGCTCATGTCATACATGTGCTCTGCACATTTAGCATGGTGTTAAAGCACATATGCACTCAAATGGTTGTTTGATTATGTGGTGTCTCAGACTTTCAAAAGTCACCTTTTTTTAGCTGATTCAATACGTTTTTCTCTTGCTTATTTAGTAGTTAAGCGTGCTAGGAGAGAATTGGGGCTTTCCCAGGGGAGAAACCTATTAAGTCTCTTAAGTTTAAAATTTTATTCACATATTTTATTTTTATATCGCCTTCATTTCTCAATCTGTTCCCCTCATCTACTCACAAAGCTACCTCTTATAACAAAGGAAAAAAAGAGGGAGTAAATTAGTTCATTAAACTATCCAATACATCAACGTAATCAGTTGTCTGATGGATTTTAACTGTTCATCCACATCACTCACATCTGGAAGCCTTTACACTAACTTGAACCATTTTTTTTTTAAACTGGACCTATGATTTCAATGACATGCAGATCACAGAGTGAGGAAATTCTAGCAGTACAGATCAGCCCTGTAATTGCTATAGTCTTAAAGAATTATCTGCGGCACTAAGTGTTTAAGTGACTTGTTCAGGGTCAGTATGTGCCAGACATAGGACTTGAATTCAGGTCTTCCTGGTTCTGAAAACAGCTGTCTATCCATTGTGCAATACTCCCTTTAAAGCTGAACCAAAATATCTGAAAAATGTGAGGATGGGGGAGGAAGACCTTAGTTGAGGCAGACTTACTTTTCACCCTTTTTGCATCTTGCTGTGATCCCCCTGAAAAACTGGTATTTGCTGCTGCCACACTACCACTTCCTGAATCATTTCTCTCTTCATTTGCAAGCTTTCTTTTGCTAAAGAGAAAAAAATAGATTAACTCAGTTTCCCTCCTTACAGAGAGACAGGGGGAGGATGTGGTCAGAGCTAAGAATACGTTTATATCATGATATCTCAAGTCAATTAGACAATTAAATATCCAGGAATTAGTGCGCCTTTCCCTCATTACTCCTCCAATCACCACAGTCGGAGTGATTAGAGTAGAAAGTATCTGTACAGGCCTGGAGACCGAAGCTGACAGCAGGTGCTCCAGCACAGCACAGCCTAAAGGTGTGTTCCCCAGAAATTTAGGAATACAGTGACCTCTAGTGGATACCCTAGTCAATAGGCAGAATTCATCATCAAGGACAGTATTACCCAATCACTGGTTTCAAATGGGAAAGATTAGGTCAAACCTCTCCAAGGTCCAGAGATTTAGAGGGGTGTGTGTGTGTGTTGTGTGTGTGTGTGTGTGTGTGTGTGTGTGTGTGATGGGGAGGAAGGTGAGGAAGCAAATGCTATGAAAATGAATAAAACTATTTTTTCTCTTTTTCATTTTATTTTTATTTCTGATAGATTTAGAGCTGGAAGGGAACTCAGAGGCCGTCAAATCCAACCCCCTCATTTTACAAACAAGAAACTGAGGCCCAAGGAGGTTAAGTGACTTACCTAGTAATAGGCAGATGTAAGAGTTGAGCTCACATCCTCTAACACTAGAGTTCACTCTTTCTACTATACCACACTACTTGCTTTCTAAACATATCCCTCCATCTTCCCCTACCAATGAACTAGCTGGCCTGGAGGGACCACATTTTGCAGTATAGTTGAATTTACAGTTCCACCAATAGTGCATTAGTGTGCCTGTCTTCCCAATAGTTTTTTTTATAGCATGAAAGTGATGAATGTTGGAAGAATGTATGTCATCTTTGCTAATCTAATGAATGTAAATTGAAATCTCAAGTTGTTTTAACTTGCATTTCTTTTCTTATTAGTAATTTGGAACTGATCATCATTTCCTCATAAAACCAGCAATATTCAAAACATCAAAGAGAAAAAAAGTCGGCTGAAATAGTGGAAAGAACAGTAAGGACAGAGACATAGATAGTATTCCTGGTTTGGCCATTGAATGACTTTGGGCAATTTATTCACTTTTCCAGACCTCAGTGTTCTCCTCTATAAGCTTGATATTAGATAAAGTTATAGATTGCTTTATAAACTATAAATTACTCTCCATCAGAAAATCCATTAGGCATACTATATGCAGAGAAAGTAGGGTGCTAAGTACTGGAAGAGGAGGTACAAAATTGAGAGGAGACCCCAGTGGTCTCATGGAAAAATAAACTATGTTTACACTCTCCCCTCCCACCCCAGTTAGACTAGTGTACTCCTGACACTCACCTGAGTCTGTTAAAAGGAATTGTAGATGGACTGCAGCTCTCTGGATGACCCCTGAGTTCTCTAGGAGGCTTTGCCACACCCTGAACATAGGCCATTTTGATCTGACACCCTAAATGAGAAGGAACCAGGGGGAGCATAAGTCTTAACATACAATGCAGCTAGCGTAGCTTTAGTGCCCAAGAATTTCTGGGTTTTTTTTTTCCTCCGACATACAGAAATATAAACAGTCATTTTGCTAGCCTAAAAAAGATTTAAAGTCTTTTGTAAATTTAATCACCATATATAAAAGTTTCAATATGCAAAAATAAGAAAGGATTATTCAAGAAATAAGAACTTGATGCACTTACAATAAACAAACAATCATACACACAAACACATCAACGTAAAAATGTAGTAAGATAGGAAGAGACTGCTAAAGAACCAAACCCAGTCCAATATCTGGGCATTGTAAGATTGCCAAACAAATATGACTACTAAAAATGAACAGCAAGTGAAGACCGAAGACCTGACCCAAATTCACTCTTTAAGAAAAGGGAGGGAGGAGCTTTCCAGGAAATTTACTAATGTGGAGAGTTCTGGCTTTACAGTCAGGAGACCTAGGTTCAGATGCTACCTCTGACACTTACTACTACTTGTATGACCTTGTGTAAGCCTCTTAACCTCCCTGGACCTCTGTTTCCTCATCTGTGAAATGAAGGAGTTGGATTCGATGGGCTCTGAGGGCCCTTTCAGCTCATATTTATGGATTCATTTTCTGTTTAATTGTTCCAGAATAATTTTTGTTTATTATTGGCAGTAGGAACCTGTCTGGATTAGACACTAGCTATATGACCTCGGGGAAGTCATTTGACTCCTCTGAATCTCATCTTCTTCATTTTAAAAATGGGAATTGTAGATCTAGAAGAAGGGACCCTCAAGGCCAGTTAGTCTAACCGCCTCGTTTCACAGAAAGGGAATCAGATTGAGAGGTTAAGGGAATTTCCCAAGATCCCACAAGTAAATAGTGGAGCCAAGATTTAAACCTGCATACTCAAGCTCCAGTCCCACACACTGTAGGCCCACCTCACAGTGCTGTTGTGAGATTCAAGGAAGGTAATACAAAGGTGGTAATACCTAGGTGGCAATACAAGGAAGGTAATACATAAACTTTGAATCGTGTATTAATTATTACTGCCATTTTTTTGATATGCAACAATCCTAGGAACAAATAAAAGTCTCATACTGAATCTACTAAGTGCTTTGGAAAAATTTTCTCATGGTACCCATTCCCCAAAAAAAAGGTTTAATTTAAAAATAAACTAAAAATAAGTTTAAATTAAATGATATATTTGTCACTTGTGACTACATGTAACAAGGTAGGGTTTTACAGGGGGTAGAGATGGAGAGTTAGTGATCAGGATAGGGATAAGTGATGCCCAAAAAATGAAAAAGAAGAAAAACATTAAAGAATCATTTAAAAATACACAGAAGTGAGCATGAGAAAGTTCATAAGGGAAATATTGTGACTGCCATATTAGATTTGAAGCACATTTTAAAAACGAGTTGTATAGAATGGAGATTCGTGGTTTCATCTTTTTCAATTCTTTGTATAAGAAAATGTTCACTTGTTTGATATTTGTCATGTTTACATTAATGGAAAGGAAAATTTCAAAAGAAGAAAACAAGTAACACAAAAAATGCTAATTACCTTTGGGCTTTTCAGACTGCGACAAAACGATGCTCTTTGTGAGGGTCTTCAAGTTTTGCTCTCTCTGACCAAAAAGCCTAAAGTACATTTCACGCCATGATTCTTCATCCTGGTGCTGCTCGGTTTTAAATTCTCTCTGGCAATGCCTCTTCCACAAATGATCAGCCAGTTTGATAAAGGTCTTAGAAGAGGTGAAAACCAAAAGGGTTCCATTAATAACTCAACCTTCTCCAGCTTTCTGAGATATCATTTCTTTTTTTTTTAATAATATTTGATTTTTTTTACCAATGACATGTAAAGACAATTTTTAGCATTCTTTTTTTTTTTTAAATTTTGAGTTCCAAATTCTCTCCTTCTTTCCTTCTCCTCCCACCTCCCTGAGATGGCAAGCAATTTGATATAAGTTATACATGTGCAATCACGTAAAGAATATTTCCATATTAGCTGAGACATCATTTCAAAGAATGACCCCACATAATGTACTAGGTAGGGTTTATTGGACTTAGATTCAGGAAGACCTGGATTAAAATCCTGTCTTAGACACTTACTAGCTCTGTGATCCTATGCAAGTCATTTAATCTCTCTAACCCTCACTTTCCTTATGTGTAAAATGAAAGCATTGGACACCATAGCCTCTAAGGACCCTTCCAGCTTTAAATCTATGGTGCTGCAATCCTCAAGTTGCCAGGTTTTTACTTTTGCAGCAACATCCTAAGGTACTAAACCACTTCTGTATAATGGCATCTGTAGTTAAGTGGACCTGGGTTTGAATCCCTGCTTTGCTTCAGAATAATACCTTCTGGCTCCAAAATCCTTACAATCCTGTAATTAACCAAACCATAGCACATTCTAAACTATGGGTCCAGTTATACAAGGTTAGAGGGGATTGATTATAGAAGCCAATATGCATTTAGCTTTAGAAAAAGACCCTAAAGATATTTTTGCTTTATAAATAAGTTGGTTATAAATGTAAGATTTTATTTAGACCTGTTATAATATGATTATAAATCTGTAGGTGCTTATTAATATCCCTAATTTATCCCTACACCTGAGGACAGTGGAAGGAGAGAGCAGACCTAAGCACCAGAGGACTTGGATGTCACTTCTGACATCTACCAGCTGGGTGACTCTGGGAAAATCACTTAACCCCTTAGGGTTCTAGGAAACATTCCATGACTTTCTCAGTTATAGGGAAGGTACCAGCCACCATTGATAAAGGAAGTTCCACATAGGGAGCTTCTTACACCAATGAATTCACAGGTCCAGTTCCTATCCCTGGCAAAGCGTCTTTCAGAGTATGGGCTTAATAAGTGTTGGACATACTGAATTGAGGCATGATAAAAGATTAAACTATTTTCATGCTCCACATAGGAAATAGTCTTGATATTTTTATAGTTACATTTTATGTCAAAAGGCTAAGCTTTATGTCATAATGGATATACAAGAGTATTCCATAGAGGTATCTAGGTGGCACCATGGTCACAGCACTGGACCTGGAATCAAGAAGACCTGAGTTCAAATCCAGCCTTAGATACTTACTAACCGTGGAACCCTGGACACATCACTTAACCTCTGCTTGCCTCAGTTTCCACATCTATAAAATAAGGATAATAATAGCACCTACCTCCCAAAGTTATGAAGATAAAATGAAATAAAATTTGTAAAAGCTTTGCAGACCATAAAGTGCTATGTAAATATAGCTTTTTTATTATTTTTGGATTCTCAATACTAATAACTTCAGTCTGCCTTAAGTTCCTTATCTGTAAAATAGGGGTAGAATCGTACCTACCTCACAGGGTTGATGTGAGAATAAAATGAGATTATACTTATAAAACACTCTGCAAATCTAAAAACGTTCTATGTAAACGCTAGCAGGCATGCTTATTGCTGCTTTTGTTACTTCTTCTTGTGTTCAGTCAGGCCCAGCTCTTCGTGACCCTGTAGACCAGACAGTCCATGGAGTTTTCTTGGCAAAGATACTGGAGTGGTTTGTCATTTCCTTCTCCAGTGGATTGAGTTAAACAGAGGTTAAGTGACTTGCCTAGTGTCTGAGGCTGCATTTGAACTCAGGTCTTCCTGACTCCAGGTCCCGTGCTTTATATCCACCGCACCATCTGGTTCCCCCATTACAGTTACTACTCATCATTTAAGGGGGACAGTTCTAATAAAAATCATTGTAACAGGAATATTTGGCTCTCCAGATAGACTGATCACAGCAAAATAAGGTCAGGTAGAGCCATAGTACCACTCCTCGAGCTTTATTCACACTACTCTGCTATCTCACATTTGTACAGCATTTTTGCAAACTTAACATTTTTTGGGGGGGAGCTAGGCAATTGGGGTTAAGTGACTTGCCCAGGATCACACAGCTAGTAAGTGTCAAGTGTCTGGTCTGAGACCAGATTTGAACTCAGGTCCTCCTGACTCTGGGGCTGGTGCTCTATCCATTGCGCCACTTAGCTGCCCCAACACGTTTTCTTTATAACAGACCTGTGGGTAGCTCAAGCACTATCATCCCTCAGTTTTCCAGATATGTACATAGAGGCTCAGAAGGTAGAACAGAAAGAGTGTTGGATCTGGAGTATGAAGATGTAGATTTGAGTCCAGGGTCAGCAACTTACTCTCTGCACAACCTTGGGGAAACCATTGTACCTGCTGGGCCTCAGTTGCTCATCTATAGTAGTGATCTCCAGAGTGGGAATCATGGCATTCAACCAGTTAGAGTCAGAAGATGGGTCATATTCCATTCTCCTGAGAGAGCCAATAATTCATCTTTGTGATGCAACAAAGAGTACTTGCTCTGGAGTTAGAGGATCTGGACTCAAATCCTTCCTCTCATGCTTATTACCTACATGATCTTGGGTGAGTCACTTAATTTGAGTTTCCTCATCTGTAAAAAGAGGGCACTGAACAACAGTACATATATCTATCTTAGAGCATCTTGGTAACTATAGGCGCATGGGCCTGGAGATAAAAGACTCATCTTCCAGTGTTCAAATCCAACCTCGAACACTTACTAGCTATGTGGCCCTGAGAAAGTCACTTAACTGTCTGCCTCAGTTTCCTCACCTGTAAAATTAGCTGGAAGAGAAAATGGCAAACCACTCCACTGTCTTTGCCAAGAAAACCTTAAATGGAGTCTCAAAGAATCAGACATGACTGAAACAACTGAACAACAATAACAAAAAGAGAGCATTGGACTAGATGACCTCCAAAGTCCATTCCAACTCCATGGAAGCTATGGTTGCTTCCAACTCTAGACTTACGATTTCATTCTTTGTCTTTTTTTTCTTTTCACTTTTTTCCTTTTTTGTGTATCTTTTTATAATTTACTTAATAATAATGATGACTAACATTTACATGTTGCTTTACATTTTGTGTGTGTGTGAATGTATGTGTGTGTGTAAAATGGGAATACCCTGCCCCACAGGGTTGCATCAAATGAGGGAATATATATTAAATATAATAAGGATAAGGAAACTGATGCTGACAAAGCTAAAGTGCTCATGGTCACACCACTAATAAGTGGCTGAGACAGGATTCAAACTCAGGACTTCTTAACTTCAAGTCCAACTCTTTCTTCACTGTAAGTACACTAGTACACATATAATTTATAAACATACACATACACACACATATAATATACTGGGGAAAGCTAAAAAAAATTTACTGATGGGGCTATGTGATCAAAAAAATTGGGAGACATCTTATTGGCACATGAGGAGTTTGAATTAGACATCTCTTCTCAGGGCCCTTCCAACTCTCTATGGTCCTTTGACTCTAACCCAAGTCCTCTGACTCCAAGCCCATCCTTGACTTTACCACACTGCTGCCTAGATGGGGAATGGGTTAGTACCTTGGCCAATGATGGAGCTCAGCAAAATCCAAATTGGATTTTATTCTACTTAAATTGTATGAATTTGGGTGACACAAAAGAATAGAAAGCTACTTAGCTCTGCCCAATTCCCCAGTGAAATATCTCCCAGTGTATCAAGACTTCACTAAGATGGTTTGGGAATGTATAGGAAAACATTTAGAAAAGCCACAGGGATGCTGAAACCCCACTACTTCTTCATTCCAGGAAAACCCAAGCTTTGGTTTTCAGAAGGGAAAATAAGATTGCTGTTGTTTTGTTCCCCTCCACCAACTGGTTCCATCAAAACAGTCATTAGAAAGTCAAGCCATGCATTGCAGGCGGTGTTTACCGGATTATAATCCTCTACTCTTCACAATTGTTTGCGGGTACAAGCATTCCAACACTGGTTCGAGGATGTCAAAGGGGATGCCACCAACTTCATGGAGCACTGTCAAACAACACAGAAAACTTCAGATTCTCTGGATATTCTTCACTACCAACCACTGTTCTACTTAATTCAGATAAGCTTTCTCTGAAGGGTACGTATGAAACAGACTGTACTCTACAGACAAAGGACTTTGTGGACTGACTGACGGATGGGCAGCTACATAATAAGAAACAGGAAAAAATACTTACCATCAATATTGTTTTGCAGTACATGGATACACTGTTTGTATAAAGAAAGCATCTGTGGAAGAGAAGCCATTTTAGATCCTGAAATAACGTGCATTTTCAAATTCAGTCTTTAGCCAGTGAATTGGCCAGCATCACTACCTGGGTAGTGCTAATCTTCTGCTGCTGGCATTAAACACAGTTATGTCCTCCCTTTGATATTGTCCCTGCTGTGGCTTCTAGGTGGCACAGTGGAAGGAGTAAAGTCAAGAAGACCTGAGTCCAAACAGCTGTGTGACCCTGGGCAAGTTACTTAACCTTTGTTTGCCTCAGTTTCTTCAACTGTAAAGTGAGGATAACTGCACCTACCTTGAAGAGTCATTGTGAGGGTAAAAATGAGAAAATATTTGTAAAGCGCTTGGCACACTGTAGGTTCTATATAAATATTAATTCTCTTCCTTCCCCACTCCCCTCATTCCTTGCCCCAAGCCATGGCTGGGTCCTTTATGGTCCCTTCAACATGGTTATAACCTAATCTAATCCAGGTTTAATCCAGCTGTATAGATAAAATTCTGACCACCCCCACCACCAACATCATGCCCCAATAATCCTGTGGCAGTGGCCAGTAAGCCTCTCTCCACCTCAGTGCACACATACACACACTTTTCATTTTGAATGAATAACACAGGATGAGTAGGTATGGATGGGTTGTGATTACATCATCTTTCCTTCTAAACTCACTCCACTTCCCAACTTCCCTATTTCCTCCCATCATCCTTGATATGAAAATCACAATCTATTATCCTATGACTTTCAAAGGGACATCTCTCTTAAGATGTCTTACTAACACCTCAAATAATAATAGCTAGTATTTGTGTAGTGCTTTAAGGTTTGCAAAGCACTTGATAAATATTATCCAATTTTATCTTCACAACAACCCCTGAGAAGCAAGTGCTATTACTATCATAATTTTACGGATAAGAAATCGAAAGCAGAGATTAAATTATTTCTGCAGTGTCACACAGCTAGTTACTATCTGAAGATAGATTTCAACTCAGGACTTCCTGACTCCTGTCTCCTTGTAACACCTAGCCACGAAATGTAACATGTCCCACACTGAGTTCACTTTCTCATCTCTCTTCACAATTTCTTTATCTGATATTAATAGCACTAGGATCCCAATTACCTAGGATTAAAAATCTCAGGGACATTTTTGGATGTGGGCAGGGTCAGGGTGGGGCAGTGAAAGAAAAAGAAGGCTCAGTCATCAACATTTGTTGACTGTTCTTCTCTTAATAATAACAGCTAACATTTACATGAGGGCAGCTAGGTTGTGCAGTGGATAGAGAACTGGACCTGGAGTCAGGCAGACCTGAATTCAAATCTTGCCTCAGGCACTTACTAGCTATGTGACCTTGGGCAAGTCACTCAACTCTGTTTGCCTCAGTTCCTCATCTGCAAAATGAACTGGAGAAGGAAATGGCAAACCACTCCACTATCTTTGCCAAGAAAATCCCAAATGGGATCTATGAACTATGGATCACATGTCTAGAATTGGAAGAGACTTGGGCTATCTACTCCAGCCCCCTGATTTTATGAGCGAAAATTTCCAGCAAGCAGTTGACAATAAGGCATTGGGGCTCAGGGCATAGATATTGGGCATAGAGGTGTTGAACAGTAGTCATCTGCATAATGGAGATAATCGAACAGGAAGGGTTGTCTAAGGAAAGAGAAAGTATGAAGAGTCAGACATGACTGAAAAATGACTGAACAACAACATTTACATAATAATATAAGGTTTGCAAAGAATTATCTACATATTACTTCATTTGATTCTCACAACAATCCTGTGAGAAAGCTACTCATTTTACAGATGAGGAAACTGAGGCTAAGAGGTTAAGCAATTTGCCCAGGATCACACAACTAGGAAGCAACTGAGAAAGGATTCAAAGTCAGGTCTTCCTGACTCCAAGTCCAGAACTCCATTTACTGTCACCTCTGTAATATCTCTTATATCCAGCCCTCCTCCTCTATTCACACTAACACAATCCTAGTTCAAGTCCTCATCGACTCTCACTTAGGTTACTAAAGCCGATCTCCTTGCCTCCAGTTTCTCCCCTTTGTAATGGATACTTCACACAGCTGCCAATGTCTTCCTAAAAAAAAAAGCATCCAATTCCATTAATCCTCTGCTCTAAAACAAACCTTCATTGTTTTCCTATAAAATAAAATAAAATACAAACTCCTTAACTTCACATGAAATACTTCTACAATTTGACCCCAACTTACCGATGAAGCCTTAATTCATTCTTTTTTCCTTTCTGGTACTTTGTGTTCTGGCCAAAGTGGATGACTGATTGTTTTCTGATCTCCTACTGCCATCCCACCTTTATGAAGTCACATAGGTGATTCCTGCCTGTCTGTGGAAATTCTTATCTTCCTTCAAAGCCCAACTCAGTGCTACTTCTCCCATGAAGTCTTGCCTGATTTCCTGTCCCATTCCCCCTTCACATACCTAGCTGAAAACGATTCTTTCCCTCCTCAGGTACTATATCACTTTGCCTGAACCTCTGACTTACCATTTTTTAATTCTATTCTGTATCCTCTCTCCATTCCACAACATAGCTGTAGATGACTTTTAACAATTTATGTCTACATTGGCTAATTAATGTTAGACATGGTATAGTAAGTGCCTCTGATAAGTTAACCCAAAAGTGGTCATTGTTTCTGGTTTGCCCATTTTAAATGAGGTTTCAGATTTTTTTAAGTTCTGGAAAACAATATGTTTGAGAACTGTGGATCACATGTAAAGAATTGGAAGAGACTTGGGCCATGTACTCCAGCCCCCTGATTTTATGGATGAAAATTTCCAGCAAGCAGTTGAGAATAAGGCATTGGAGCTCAGGACAGAGACATTGGGCATAGAGATATTAAACAGTAATCATCTGCATAGAGGAGATAATTGAACAGGAAGGGTTGTCTAAGGAAAGAGAAAGTACATCCTGAGAAAAGAGTGCCAAGATCAGGGGTTTGAAGGACAGCCACAGAGGGTAAAATGGAGAAAGAGGAACTATGATATAGTTGTGAAGAACCAGGAAGAAATAATGCCAGGAAAAAAATAGAACATCCAAAAAGGAGCAGTAGAATAGCAAAAGTATAGAACACACAGTTCTTACACTATTGACAAAACATTTAACAGTTGTTCTCTAAATGTAAAAATCTTTATTAAACCAGTGAATTGAAAATCCACAGTGGGGCAGCTAGGTGGCGCAGTGGATA